AAGCTGCTATTGGCCTCTGCACTAGGGCAGGGACTTAACAGCATTGACAGCTCCCTCCTTCCAAGAGTGCAGACTTTATGTCTTCATAAATGCACAACAAAATTCTAATAATAAATCCTCTTTATACATGTACATATTTTCTAGTGGTTTTGCTCTGTTGGAGAACCCTGACTAATGAGGCACTTAATTGTCTGAGCCAAAAGTCCTTACATCCCTCTCAGATTTAGTTGATTCATCACGTGATGCCAGATTCACCAACATATTGTAGGAGCTTGAGATTCAATGTCATCATTATGTAAGATCTATTAACCTATAGTTAATAGATCTGGAATGAGTTCATTTTTAGATTTCCTTGCACATGTCAATGTAACTCTATTGAGTAAGGTCCCAGAGACTGAGTTGGTACATCTAACCTGATCAGTTTAGATTAATAGCTAAGATCTTTAGATGAAGCTGAATTGCCTCACATGGTAAGCATCTTCTGTGGTGCCTGGTTCACATTCAGTGATCAATAATTGATGCTTGCATGAGCAAACACTGGCATATTTCAATGAATATTTCAGTGTGCTATTTTAGTGCACACCTCTTTCCGTCAGTGTGTCTACATTCCCAGCAATCCCCAACAACCCACCCTTGATGTTCCTTTTTTTCCTTTCTGGCCACTGGCAACTGGAGCTGGAGTTGCAATTTATAATCCTTAAATTTCTTGCAATACCATATCTAAGAATGACGGTCAGAACAGAGTTCCAGATATTTTGCTCCATGCCAGATCAAACAGTCTACTACAGTTTTCTTTCAGATCCCTGTAATCTGATGACCAGTGTGTGAAGATTTAAATCACGCTTGCATGGTTTTACAAAATGAGATTTAAAAAAAAGTGTTTGAAATAAACAGAGTGTTTCAATGCTTTACAAATATATCAGAACTTTTATTTACTTTTTGCTTTAACTAGAAGTTGAAGTTTACATAGTTAGATAGATCTCAGTGGCCAAATCCATGTGATTTTATTTAATCATTAAGACATAGGTGTTATTAGTTTCATGTTTCTGATGATAAACAAAAGAAATGCAGAGAGGTTAGATAATCTTTATAGTCTTGCAACTTTTAATAGGAAGAGCTGGGATTTGAATGCAGATCTATCTACCTCCAAAATTTTGCATAAGCAAAGCCTTTTATTTAAAGCCCAACTGCTGAAAAGAGCCCTGCTTATTCCTCTGTAAATTTCCACCATCTGCTGAGATGCTGGAGCATCACCTCGCCTGAACACTGTCTTATTACCAGCAAATAAATGTCAGGGTAAAGACCATGAAAATCATCTGTTACTTTAGCCTTCGACAATTGCATCAACCCCCACCTGACAGCAGTTTCGAATGATGCTGGCAAACATAAATAGATTAGTGAGGCCAGAGTCTTAGGGGGTGCATAACCTTATGTTTCTGAACATTTAAGTTATTAAAATTCACAAAGAAAAACCTTATGGTGCCATCATTTTATCTGACTAACATCATCAGTATGGCTCAAGGGCTATGGCTTTGTACAGTCACCCCAGCAGCAGTGAACATATGGTTTTACTTCTCTCTAAAGCCTTAGGGTATCTGACGGTACCTTTCATGGATAATGGATAAAGGCTGCCACACCAGTAGGTAACTTCTGTTCCATCAGGATCACCTTCATGCCAAGAATGCTGAGCAAATTCCAGAAGGTTTTGAACTGACCTAGGTCTATTCTGTCAACAGCAGCACCCTAGAGCAGCAGGAGCAAATGCCTCCTGTTGAACTGCACCTTAGAGTTCCTCTGTATTTGCACAAGCTCCTTAAAGAAGGAGCTTGTTTAATGCAGTTAAGCCACAGGTTGTAGCTTCTGCCTGCCTAAAGTTTGTTTTGCTGGTGTTTCTTCTTTTTGATGCCTATCCTACTGCTCCTGAAAAAAAAAAATGTGAAAAAATAAGTGTGTATTACATTAGCTTCAAGGAACTGTTGCAAATATTCTTTGAGAGTAAAAAGGAATGAATGTAACTGAAAAGTTGATTTGCTCATGATTTCACATGATTCAATGCTACAGTACCTAAACTATCAATAGTATCACTATTTTTGGTATCAATATCTTGCCTGCAATTAAATCCATTTATATCTAATCTGCATTCCATTCTCAACTGTTCAACAGGCTTAAAATTTTTTTTTCCATTTTCTCTGAAACCTTCTATAATATTGAGAAATAGTGCAATGGATGTACCAAAGGCATGGAATACAACTCAGACCAGCAGTGAATTCTCAGCCTTTTAAAAGAGGAAGCACATGGATCGTTTTCATACTTCCAGGAGTTTCTAAATATAGTGAGTCCAAAGATGATAGGCTTTGAAACCAAATAGGGTTGAATCAAAGTCTGAACTGTACTAGTTCTGGGTTGTCTTCAGCAATTTGTTAGTGTTCTGAACACCTGTGATGTTATTCTCCCCTCCCCATTTTCTTTGTTTTTTGCATGTAAATAAAACATTGCCGAAAATCACACACTTTCCAAACTCCCAAATTAAGTCTCATCATTGACTTATTTATGCCATGTCTAAACCTTATCCCAGTCCTTCAAACTCTATGTTTAATATCTACCCCATACTTGTCTTTTTCTCATCAGTGGCATAGACAGCAGCTCTAATCAAAGGCATCATCTTCTCTCAATTGGGCCACAGCCTCTCACTTGGTCTACTTCGTCTACTCTACAATATTTGTCTTCCTGTCACTCCACAGCCAAAATGAACCTCTTTAAATTAAAATTAGACCGTGTCATTCATTGGGCCTTCTCATGGCTCATATTAAAATTCCAGGCTCCTGATGACAGCCTATAAGACACAACACAGCTAATTCTGTCTTATTTTTCTGTCCTGATTCCTTTTCACTTTTGCACAACCATTCTGCTACAATTTAGCATTATTGATGCTTGTTGTACAAATCAAAATCATTCTCATTTCAAGGCATTTACCCTTGTTGTTCCCCTTATCTAAAATTTCATTTGCCAAGATATTAGATCCCTTCATACTGCTGAAGACTCAGGGATCTCTCCCTTAGTCGTCACCTTTAAAAGAGAATGTATCCCCATCCTGACCCTGTCCTCTAACTCTGGTGACTGCTCTAGTTTGCTTTATGACTACTTATACCTCATTGTCTGTTTTTATATTTGTCTAAAGCTTTTTATTTATCTTATTTGCCATTAAATACCCAGGAAACATGGATGTATCTGAAAATAACAAGTAAGCATTGCACACTTTAATAAACACATTGATAAATGCATAAGTGCACCTTATTTTATGAAATTAATCTCTCCCTTCTTCTTAATGCTTATGCTGTCAGTATGAGCATTAAAGTATAAGACAACTACTATACATGTCTGGTATGAGGCTCTCGTAAATAGTGCTACTTTCACTGTGGCTGTTTCATTGTGTTCAGATAAAAATCCTTGAACAGATCTTTAAAATGTTTTATTACTAGAGCTATCTATACCTTGTTATTTATCATTACTGATGATCAAAGAAATGTGATGATCAAGAGGCTGAGGGAGGGTGTGATCGCAGTGGCTGTGGCTGCCTTTATAGATGTGTGAATAGAGTTTTCTTATGTGATTACCTAATTGTGATTTTTCCCTCAGGGTTATTTACATTTTAGCACCATCCTCATTTTAGCCTTATCATAAATTTTGATCTATAATTATTATTAAATGGACATTTCAATGTATTGCAAAGTAATATCATAATAAAGTTAACTATGTTTGCAGAAATTCTGTAAGGCAGATAAACACAAACACAGTCTTTTGTTTTCTAATTCATTTCTTGGATACTTACATTTTCTTTTTAGTGAGATCTCACTGTGAGGCTTGATCTGATCCCTGTCAATAGTCATGCTCTAATATACTTTTGGGAATCAATCCAAGTGCCCTGTACGTTGTATAGACATGGAGGAGGAATAGATGCAAGATAAAGAAAGATAACTGCAGCATCCATGCAGGTCCAATTGCTTTGGTCATGGGATCTTAAACTACTGCCAAAGAATATTTATGAAGAACTGTAATACTTAACACTCCAAATTTCCATATACTGTTCAAAAAATTACAAAAGACCCAAAAACAAATGGTCATATTCACCAATATGAAGAATTAATATTGTTATTTAAAATAGCAGTATTCTCCAAACTGATTTCAGATTAAATGTAGTCTCTATCAAATCCTAGCTGATTTTTGCCATGGCAAGAACAAGTATATCTTAAAATTCTTGTAAAATACTATCAACCAGAGAAGACAGAATAATCTTAAAAATGAGAATAAAATTAGAGACCTCAGAATCTCATTTTCTTAAGATTTATTTTATTTGAAAATCTGAATTACAGAGAGAGAAAGAGAGATAGAGGTAGAGATAGAGAGAGAGAGAGAGAGAGAGAGAGAATTTTTCCATTTGCTGATTCACTCCTCAGATGACTGCAATACGCCAGGTTGGTTCAGGCCCCAGCCATAATCCAGGAGTTTAATCTGGGTCTCTCTGGTAGGTTTGGGGGCCCAAGGACTTAGACCATCTTCTCCTGTTTTCCCAGGTGCATTATCAGGGAGCTGGATCAGAGGTAGAGCAGCCAGAGCTTGAACTGGTAGCCATATGGGATGCTGACAACCTGCTATGCCACAGCCCCTGGAAACCCATTTTCTAAAAATTTCTACAAAGATGGGCCTGCACCGTGGCTCACTTGGTTAATCCTCCGCCTGTGGACCCGGCATCCCATATGGGCGCCGGGTTCTAGTCCCGGTTTCTCCTCTTCCAGTCCAGCTCTCTGCTGTGGCCTGGGAGGGCAGTGGAGGATGGCCTAAGTGCTTCGGCCCCTGCACCTGCATGGAGACCAGGAGAAAGCGCTTGGTTCCTGACTTCAGATCGGCACAGTGCTGGCCGTAGCGCCATTTGAGGAGTGAACCAACAGAAGGAAGACCTTTCTCTCTGTCTCTCTTTCTCACTGTCTATAACTCTACCTGTCATCGCTTCTCGGCCTTTTGGCTAAGATCAAGTGTAGTAACTCTACCTGTCAAAAAAAAATTCTACAAAGCTGTATTAATTAATGCAACAGAGTAGTAGGGAAATGATTGGCATATAGATTGGATGTAACTTACAGCCCATATGAAAACCCTTATATTTATGATTAATTGATTTTTCAAGGATGTTGATAATTTAATTGAGATATATATATATATATACACACACATACATATCTATATCTTTTCAACAAATTTTCCTTAAAAACTGGATATCAATATGCAAACAAAAAGAAGTTGGACCCTTTCGACATACAAAAATTAACTCAGAAAAAAATTCATTAACCTAAATATAATAGAAACTGGAAAACTGTTTAAAGAACACATATAAAATCTTCACAATGTCAAGTTAGGCAAAGACTTCATAAATTTAATACAGTGACAAAAACATAAGTGACAAAATAAAAATTAAAAAGTAGGACTTCATACAAATTAAAAAAAATTGAAAATTATATCATCAAGAACTCAACAGTCAACCAACTTGCAGATTTGAGGAAAATGTTTTCAGTTTGTATATCTGAAATGTGGCTTGTGGGGCCGGCGCTGTGGCATAGTGGGTTAACACCCTGGCCTGAAGTGCCGGCTTCCATATGGGAGCCGGTTCTAGTCCCAGCTGCTCCTCTTCTGATCCAGCTCTCTGCTATGGCATGGGATAGCAGTTGAGGATGGCCCAAGACTTTGGGCCCCTGCATCTGTATAGGAGACCCGGAAGAAGCTCCTGGCTCCTGATCAGTGCAGCTCTAGCTGTTGTGGCCATCTGGGGAGTGAACCTGTGAATGGAAGACCTCTCTCTCTGTCTCTACCTCTCTCTGTAACTCTTTCAAATAAAACACATCTTTAAAAAAAAGAAAATAAAATATGGCTTGTAAGGGCAGGTATTCATGCCTACATCACGTATCAGAGTTCCATCAGAACTCTCCATCAGAGTTCCATTTGGATTCCCAGTTCATTTCCTTCTGATCTACCTTCTTGCTCCTACATCCTGGGACACAGACAACAATGACTCAAATGGTTGGATCCTTGACACCCATGCAGGAGACATGGACAGGGTTACAGGCTCCTGAATGTATGCTGCTCCATCCCTGCCGTTGTTGGCCTTTGAGGACTGAACCGGAAGATGAAGGATCTCTCTCTGCCTTTAAAGATATAATTCTTAAAGTGGGAGACTTACGGGGCCAGCACAGTGGCATAGTGGCATAGCAGGTTAAGCCTCCACCTAGGGCATTGGCATCCCATATGGACTACGGTTCAAGTCCCTGCTGCTCCTTTTCCATACCATCTCTCTGCTATGGCCTGGGAAGGAGTGGAAAATGACTCAAAGACTTGGGCCCCTGCACCCACATGGGAGACCTGGAAGAAGCTCCTAACTCCTAGCTTCTGCCTTTGCAGCCATTTGGAGAATGAACCAGCAGAAGGAAGACCTTTCTCTCTGACTCTCCCTCTCTCTGTCTGTAGCTCTGCCTCTCAAATAAATAAATACATCTTTTTTTTAAAAAAATGGGAGACTTGTGTTTGGAATATATAAATACTACTTATAGCTCAGTGATAAAAGATAAAGCTGATAAGCATCCTTAGCCATTAGGTAAATGCATTTTTAACAAAAGTGAGGTATTAGTTCACTCACACTGGAATCACTAAAGAAAACAAAAACAAAACAAAACAAAAGCCAATCATATAACCGATGAGGATGAGAATAAAATGGACATTCCCTATCACCACCATATACAGCTGATAAGAATACAAACTGGTGCAGTCTTTTTTAAAATAAATTTGGTCTTTTCTTAAAGGTTGAACTTACAGCTATCATATGAACCTTTTTCTACTCCCAGTATTTCACAAGATAAATACAAAGATATCACCATACAAAAATGTGTACATAAATGTTTATAGGAGTATTGTTTTCAAGAGCCAAAAGTAAAAAAAAAAAAAAAAAAAGCCATCATCTGATGAATGGGTAGTAAGTATAATGTTTTTTCAGCAATGAAAATGAAGAATCAGGGGCCGATGCTGTGACATAGTGGGCTAAGCCTCCACCTGTGGTGCCGGCATGCCATATGCACACTGGTTATTTTCTTGGGTACTCCTCTTCCAATCAAGCTCTCTGCTTATAGCCTAGGAAAGCAGTGGAAGATGGCTCAAGTGGTTGGCCCCTGCATCCACATGGGGGTCCCAGAAGAGGCCCTGGGCTTCTGATAGGCCCAGTTCTGGCCCTTGCAGCCATTTGGGGAGTGAACCAGTGAATGGAGCACCTTTCTCTCCATCTCTGGGCACACCTTGAAAATACTCTAAGAGAAAGATCAAATATTCTATGACTTCATATACAAAAATATCCAGCATAGCAAATTTACAGATTATTGCTTATTTTGGGGTAGGATGGAGATGGAGCTAAAAATGGGATGAGATGATATGCACTCTATGAATGAACTAAAAAACTGAATTATACAGTTTAGATAAGTGCATTGTATGGGGTATGCAGTGAAACTCTTTTTAAAAATATGTTTTTTTAAAGGCAGAGTAACAGAGAGATAGGGAGACATACATACACACACACACATAGAGAGAGAGAGAGAGGAGAGAGAGAGAAAGAGAGAGAGAGAGAGATCTTCCATCAGCTGGTTCACTCCTAAAACCCTTACAGGAGCTGAGGCTGATCCAGGCCAAAACCAGGAGCATGGAACTCCATCTGGGTCTCCCACATGGGTGACAGGAACCCAAGCACTAGGACTATCTTTAGCTGCTTTCCTATGTGCATTTGCAGGAAGCTGGTTTGGAAGCAGAACAGCAGAAACTGGAACCAGAGCTCCAATATGTGATTCCAGCATCACAGGCAGTGGCAATCCACTGTGCCATGATGCTAACCCCTAAGCATACTTTTTAAGAGTCACAATGAATTAAATAAAACAAATGAAAATGTAAGTTAACAACACGTATTAAGACTTTTTATTATTCTTCAAAGTTCAAAATGGAAACCATTTTTTAGAATACTATAATTTCACATGTTCCCAATAAAAGTGTGAGAGTCTTTGATTTTTTTGGCGATTTCAAATAATTATTAAATTTGGAATTGTTTTAGGCTACCTTGTTTCAATTCAAAAATTGCAAAGCAAAAGGCAGGTAAACTTATATATTTCATAAATGTATTAACATCACTTGTGATATTGCTTTAAGTTTTCATAGGGGGATAATCTTAAGAGAACTTAATTTGGAGTTGATAATTCAAGTCAGAATACTGTTCTCACAAATAACATTTAATGCATTACATTATTCAAAGGCTGTAGAACCAGGGAGGGTACTTATCATAGAAACTATTGTGCTTTTTGCTGTTTTGAGAAGTTAAGTGTGTTGCACTTTTCTGGAACTCCATTTGAGTCTCCCACAATGGTAGCAGATCCTATACTTATCTCAGCCAGTGATAAGAATGAATCTGATCACTGTAGTACACAGGGAAAGTCAAAGGAAACTCATTTTCTCTTCAATGATGCATGATGATGTAATCTGAATGCTATTTAATATTTCTTAACAAAGCAATGTTCTAAAAATTATTTTGATCTTTGATTTCAAGACAACAATATATTACTTATATTAACTTATATGTATCTTTTTATTAAATAATTAGAGTTTTGTTTTAATAGATTTCTAGCACACTTTTGAAAAATACATGCTACAAATTACAAATAAGCAAATGGATTTTTCCCTGGTATCATCATTTTCACACTGTGACTATGGAACATTAACATATTTGATAAAGGAGTTCAACACCATTTTCGTATTTTCAATCTAGATCTTTTTTTAAAAAGATTTATTTATTTATTTTGAAAGTCCCAGTTACAGAACGAGAAGGAGAGACAGAGCAAGAGAGAGATCTCCCATCCTCTCATTCATTCCCCAGATGGCTGCAATGGCCAGGGCTGGGCAGAAGCCAGGAGCCATGAGTTTCTGTCACGTTTCCTCCAAAGGTGGCAGGGGCTCAAGCACTTGGGCCTTCTTCTACTACTTTTCCCTGACCATAAGCAGGCAGCTGGATCAGAATGGGGCAGACAGGACATGAAACAGTACCCATAAAGGATGCTGTCGTTGCAGTTGATGTCTTTATCCTGTATACCACAACACGAGCCCCTAAATCTAGATTCTAAACTCCTAGACATTTCGTGCTCTTTGCATATGAGCCTACCAATTTTATCAATTTGATAATTATTTCTAGGGGCCAGCGCTGTGGCATAGTACATTAAGCCTCTGTCTGCAGCGCTGGCATCTCTTATGGGTGGCGGTTCAAGTCCCAGCTGCTCTTCTTCGCATCCAACTCTCTGTTAGTGGCCTAGGAAAGCAGTGCTTGGGCCCTTGCACCATTGTGGGAGACCCAGAGGAAGCTCTTGGCTCCTGGCTTTGGATTGGTGCAGCTCCGGACGTTGTGGACATTTGGAAAGTCAACCAGCAGATGGAAGACCTCTCTCTCTGTCACTTCCTCTCTTTGTAACTCTGCCTGTTAAATAAATAAATAAATCTTAAAGAATAATTATTTCTGGTAAAATTAAAAGAGAACTTTCACACAAAGTTCAGAAATGAATGCTCTTTGGGTGATACTATCCTACAACAGACAAGGAGACAAAGGATAAATTTGTCCATGATTAGCAAGATGGTTTCAGGCAGATGTAAATCACCAAAGGGGATTTCAGGCCGCACAGATTCATGTTCCAGGCCTATGATTTTGTGGATTTACACACTTATTTATAAACATAGTTATATATTTTCTTTATTTAAAATTTTCCAATTACATTGTGCAATGTCCTTTATAAAACACCACTGCTTTTACAAATAGTATAATTTGGCAAACAGGCCAAAGTTAAATCTTTAATTCTGAATTGAAAACATGGGTTGAGAAGAGAGATTTGGATAGACTGACTTTTCCTAATGTAGTTTTAATAACTGTGTTTACAAGTATATTTCATCATGCAATTTATAAATCTAAATGCAATGTATAATTAAATTCATAAAAAGCATGTTTACTTTTAATTAAAATAATTTGTACTGTGTTATTTTGCCAGAAAACTCAACATTTTACAGTTAAACATGTCAGAGGTGAATAGCTACATATTATTTATTCATGAGAGTTACACCCTTGTGTTGGCAAC